TTGCCATGTGAGCTCTGGATTTTTTAGGATACAAGTCTTAATCTTAAAGCTACCTGCACAATATATTGCAAGTCAGCTTCTAGAGGAAGGAAAACTGTAAAATATTTTTATAAATGTAATTACACTATAGCCCTAATTCACTCCTCACCTTAGTTTTACCCTGGTGTAAATTTGTTGATTTCAATGGAGGTACTCCTGATTTATGAGAGCAGAATCATGTCCTATGTTTGATAACAAATATAAAGAGAACAGGATACAATAGAGTAAATTACGTATGAGTTTAGTACAGCTCCTCCTTGTTCAATCAGCTGAGGCCTAAGGATTAATACCTCAGTTCAGCACAGCATTTAAGTATATCCTTAACTCTAATCTAACGTCAGAGGGGCTTAAAGTTAAGCATATGCTTTGCTCAATAGGGATGGACTTAAGCACATGTTTAAAGTTTTGCTGAAGGAATACCCATCTGAGTAGTTCCATTTTAAGTCAACAGGACCTCAGACATGTATAAAACTTTGGACCATCTTTAAGTAGCTTGTTCAAGTGGGGCCTCGGAGAGGTCCAGTTTGAGTCTCATTTCTGTGAATTTGCAAGTCCCCAAGCAACGTGAACCACTGGATTTTGGGGGGGCGGGTGGAGAAAGTGCTCTAATTAGTTTATTCCCACTCTTGTGTCTGGTATAGCAGCTCACTGTCAGGCACAACATCGCTCATTAACTAGCCAGGTACAAAGGATGACACATGTTGTTGTTTCTATTCCCTGTATTCATTTTATTTTTTTGCTCAGATAATTAAAGGACACATTCTCCTAACCATGCACCCAGCCACAGTTGAGGATAAAAAAATAAAGCTTGGAAATAACTGCAGTAGTAAAGCAAAATCCACTTTCCACCTCCACAGGAGCACAAACAATAAATATTTTAAGAATCCAGAAACGGAGCAAAGTAGTAATGTTGAATAAGCAGAAACCTCTTTTGCTAGAAGATTAGCAATTCAGGTTCTATTTTACAGGAGCTGAATGTGTACCACCTACTGGCATGTCTCAAAATGATGTGATAAGCCATTGTTTTTCATAATACACTGAATACCATTCATAGTATGGTATAAGCGCATGTTGACCACAGCTGAGTTTTTATGTGCCCTAATATCTTCTTTAAAAAAAAACAACAGCATCAAAGTTAAATGCCTACATTAATTAATGCCATTTCTTCACCCCAAAATAATCACAGGGACTCAATCCAGGGTCTGGATGTGAATAAATTAAACTTAAAGATCTGGCTTCTGCATCATAAAATGAAAGTCAACTCTAGTCTAAAGGACTAAATTGTTCCTAGCTTATGACAGTTTGCTTTAAATTGCAGACCTGAGTTCCAGCTGTGTTTTCAAAGAGCACTGCTGCGATGTAAGGGGAAACAAGCGGTTGAATGTATGTGAGCACTTATAGGGTTTGATTTTGAAAAGTTAGCTTGAGGGTTAATGTTAGGAATGGGCAAACCTTTGAAGGATCAGAGATTGTGTGCACCACACCCTCCTGACCTCAAGAGGGTTTGAGTCTAAACTTAACCTCTTGAATTTTAATCTTTACTCTACTCTCTTTGCAGCGAAGAATAAGACGTCCTTTCCCTCTGAAACAATAAGCTAACTTCAGCTGCTTAGCTTCTAACCCTTGTCCCCTTCTAATGTGTTCACAGCTAATATTATTGTCTGGCTACTGAATTCTCTTCTGACACCTATGAACACTTTCACCAGTCACCCCTGGCCCTTACCCTGTCCAGTCTCAAACGACAATGCTATTCTCTATCTATGGAGCGCATCCCTTTTCTAAAAGTGAGCTAATGAGAAACCTTGTTCTTTTCCCTGTACCCCTTCTGAGCCCTGGTTTACCCTACAGAGTTAGGTCGATGCAAGGCAGCTTACATTGACTTCAGTGTCGACACTAAAATTTCACCCCCACTGATGAAACTCGCCCACTACACTGACTTAATTCCACCACCACAAGAGACATAGAGTTTGTTGATGTAATTAGGTCAACACAGTGTCAGCGTAGATACCGAGTTACTTACATCAGCTGCTGCTGGCTTTCAGAAGCCATCCCACAATGCCCCACACTGACAGTTCAATAGGTGGAAGCGCTCCTTGCGAGGACACACATCACCGATACAAGGAGCAAAGTGTAAACACTCACAAGCAGCATAATTACTATGGCATCTGTATGCCAAAGTAAGTTATGTCACTTCCATTTTGTAGTGTAGACATACCCTAACTTTCATCCACAACATTCCAAAGATACACCCTTTTGTCTCTCCACACTGTCAAAGCTCTTGTTTGTGCCTTTGTCTTGTACCGCAACTTCTGTAATCTCCACCTCTCAGGCCCAGGTTCCTCCAGTTTTCCCCTCCTTAAGTCCAATCAAGATGCTGCCATTGGGACTATCATCCTGGCTCATTGCTCCAGTCAGGTCACCCACCTATTTGCATCCTTTCACTAGCTCCTCCTTTTCTACTGCATCAAACAGGAAATTTGTCTTTAGGATAACGCCCTTCATCTAGTGTTCCTAAGGGGCTTCATATTGTATTACAGTGCTGATGCCTGCCTTTGCTCTGACAACAATGCCAGCCTTCCTGTGCTGCCCCTTACAGGTGAGGGCCAGCACCTTCTCCTCCTTTAAATCTCTCCTGCAGATGTTCCTTTGCCAAGATGTCGACAAGACACTGCTATCCCATAATGAGTAGTCAGGTAATAAACTGAGACTTCAATTGATTTTGCAAAGCATGCTTCACTAACTTTTGCCTCATCCTCCCTCCTCCCATCCTGCCACTCCTTTGTCTGTTTTTTTCCACCTGGTGTGTCTTAACCCTAGAGGTTGAGCTCTGTGGGGCAGGAACTCTCTCTCCTGCTCATTTGTACAATGCTTAGCATGACAGGTCTCAAGCCTTGATTGGGGCATCTCAGCCAGTGCTTAATTTGTGCCGGGGCGTGACAGTTCATAGCCCCAGCACCTCTTTCATTACAAATGAAGCACTGATCTCAGCACTACTATAAGTACAGTATCCTCTTATCCATGGGTGCCAGGTAAAAGAGGCCCCAACTAGAGGCGTGTCAGCCACTCCTCTGCCTGTGCTGCTCCTCTTCCTGGCCTGCTTCCCCCCTCCCCCCAAGACCCTGCCCTCACTCCCCCTCCCCACTCCTCCCCTTCCCCCAAGGCTCCCACCCACCTGCCACTCGCATCTCTCTGCCCGGGTGGGTAGCGGGGTGGGACCTCAGGGGAGGAGGCTGAGCAGGGGCGGGCCTCAGGGCACAGCAGGGGGCATGGCCTCCCACTTCTAGGGAGCTTCCAGCACTTGCTCCCAGCCTCTCCAAATGCAGGAGTCACACGCCGCCCATGCTCATATCTCCTTGAAAGGAGAGGCTTTCTCATGAAAAATGCTGCTGGCGCATCCTTAAAAAGAGTGATAAGCAAAATCTTTCATTATGTATGACTCATATGAAATTAACAGCAGTAATAATCTGTCAGTATTGTACAAAGGAACTACCACACACATTTGCTTCCTTGGCTTGTAAAAATCCTTGGCCCAGCTTGTCAACAGAGTTACGGGCTGGCCCCTTTGCACCACTCAGCTATCTAATCTAGATATCTAATCTAAGCGAGAGAAGGGAACTCCCTGCTGGTACAAGTGTTCCCATTTCCAAACCTGAAGAGTTCCTGGCAGATGGGATGTGTTCTGGAGGCATGGCATGGTGGAACAGAGCTGCACAACATCTGTCCTTCATTGGCATAAGGTGCATTAAGAATGTTACACCAGTGGTGCAACTTAGAGCTGCTGCTGGGCTGCTCTAAATCACATGCAGGATGGGTCGGCTCTCAGAATCAGGGGGCAGTAATGAACTCTTTGATCCTTCACTCACTTCTGTGCCAAGCAGAGCTCTAGGAGAGGAGAGAATCTAGCCCCCCTCTACTTCCCCATTTAGCAGGAATTCATTTACTTGTAAAGTGAGGGGGTAAGAGGCTGAGGAAGCTGTGCAGTTACTTTTCTAGTTTAAACAAAAACTGCATCTCCGAATCCTAAGGATGGCTGCAAAGTCATTGGGCAGGGGAACATATGAGTTTGTTCTTTAGGAAATGTTTTATTGTTCCTGAAATATATGCTGCAAATGATGATAAATATAGCGCAAACGTCAACTTGCATCATTTTGTAGAAGGGATTATTGGGAGGACTTTTTTATGGGTTCTGGTTCTATTCTCACTGGAGGTTTTTTTTAAAAAAAAATACCTGCAATCCAGACATTCCGAAGGCCACGGAAGAGTCTTCTTTAGACACAGGTGTGGACCATATCTGCACTTTTCATTGTCATGGTTTGATTTCATTCTTATCTGGCATGCTTACTACTTTACCAAACACTGATTTCCTATCAACTTTCTTTATACATTTAGGGCCTGATGCAAAGCCCATTGGAGTCACTAGGAGTCTTTAAAACAGTGCCTCCCTCCTCCCATTAGCACCTCTACATACACATTTTTGTGACAAAACAGAACCCCTGATTTTGCAGATAGGAAGCTGTTTTCTTGCAGCAGCGTATGCATGCATTTAGGGATATTAGTCTTCTAAAAGGTTTTAGCAGAAGAGCACTGGAGCCTCATTCTAATCCAGTGTAATATAAACAGGTCTGTGATGACACCTGGGAACTGGGAAGTGGCACAAATTTAGACTCTCAGATAAGCCTCCATTAAGCTGTCAAATTGGCACCTGTGTCCATCACAGCTAGTGGAGTGTCTTTTTAGATCAAGGACCAAATTCAAGCTTAGTTCAAACCGATATTGCATTGAATTCAATAGAGTTGTACCTGCTTACTCCAGGGCTGAATTTGCCCTCAAGAGAAGTCTTTAGTTTACATGGAAACGGAATGATTCACCTTTCATTTTGCATTTTCATATCAAAGTAATGAAAACTGCTGATCTTAACCCTACCCCTCACCCTGGTCCATATCCCCCTTCCCAGACAATACCTGTGATGGCTAACTGTGTTACAAAAAAGGTCATTCGGGATTTCCTCTTCCTCTTCCACGTAGAGAGCAGCACGATGGAGTTTCCAGCAACTGTGACAATAAAGAGAATCCAAAGAGTAACCAGCTGTTCTGTCTGCATGGGGGAGGGAAAAAAAGAAACCAAGTAAATGGATCAGTGGGTGGGTGAAAGCGGCTTGGGTTAAACAAGGTGATGAAGACTTAGCTATAACAAGCAGGCTTGGAATTAATACAATGGGATTTAAATATGAGTTGACAATTGATTTTTCACTTAATCCAAAAAGTCTATTTTTCATCAGAAAATGTTAAAATGCAGCAGTGTTTTTTAAAAAATGGAACAGTGAAGTCCTGGTTTTAATTTGATAGCAGCTAAGTGTGTGGGGTGGGGGTAATAATTTCACAAAGCCATCAGAAGCATATCATCAAGTATCACTGAAAAGGGAAGTAACCTTCAGTTTTCTTATGTTGCTCTAGTGGACCATTAAGTCTGTCTGACTGTAGAAAAGAAATTTACAGATGGGCTCCTGAAGAAACTAGAGGAATAAAATGCTTTGCTTTCTAACCCAAGCAAGTATGGGTCATGCAAGTACATCATAAAAATCAACTCATTATATAAGAGGAGGGCACTAAGACTAAAAAAAGAACATTGCCATATGGTACTAGTCAGTGGAATCTTGCTATTCGGAGAAATACATAATGGCAAAATGCCCCCTAGAGGTAGTATGTGTAAAAATAATAGAAATGAAAGAAAGGTTACCCAAACCTTTCAATACCTCAAAGATTGAGCAACAAAAGTGAAGGACGTGTGAGGGAGAGAGAGATGCCTGTGTATGCAACCTGGGTTGTTTTTTTTAACCTATTTGCTCATGCTGAGATATGGATACAATTTCTGCGTCCACCCCCACTTTTTAGTAAAACTTCTTTCAGTCATTGGGGAGCACAAAGATCATGTTTTTTTCCTTTAATACCCATGCTGCTCAGGTCTTAGTTTTAAGAAGTACTGCACCTGGTGTTTAATGAGATTAAAATGGAGAGCAGACGTAGCATTTACACAACAGTTCATTCACAAAAACCTTGCCACTTATGACGTTGCCCATGACAAGTAGATTGTACTCCAAAGAAGGATCGCGCTGTTCTTTGACAGCTTCTCTTAATACACTGGCTGTTAACTTGCAGTCCCATTCATACTGGAGTGAACTTTTCATAGTATATAACTTGTCTGGTCAGGATGTATTGCAGGATCTTAATGAAACAAGTTATTAAAATGTGGTAACAACAAAATATAGTGATCTAATCTTCCCCAGCCTCTCTACTCACACAATTCCCATTGTTACAAAAGTGTAGCTGGTCCGGATTTTAACCCTAATGATAATGTTAAAATTCAGGCAGTTCCTAGGCCAGGGATGGGCAAACTTTTTGGCCCGAGGGCCACATCGGGGTTGCACAACTGTATGGAGGGGGCCGGGTAGGGAGGCTGTGCCTCCCCAAACAGCCTGGCCTCTGCCCCCTCCCACTTCCCGCCCCCTGACTGCCCCCCACAGAATCCCAAACCCATCCAAACCCCCCCCCCGCTCCTAGTCCCCTGACTGCCCCCACCCAGGACCCCTGCCCCCTACTCAACCCCCCTGCTCCTTGTCCCCTGACTGTCCCGACCGCTATCCACACCGCCACCCCCTGACAAGCCCCCCAGGACTTCCACCCCCTATCCAACCTCCCTCTGCTCCTCGTCCCCTGATCACCGCCTCCCGGGAACCCCCACCCCTAACTGCCTCCCGGGACCCCACCCCCTTATCCAACTCCCCCTGCTCCCTGTCCCCTGACTGCCCTCCCAATCCCTATCTATATCCCTGCCCCCTGACAGGCGGCACAGGCCTCCCCGGGACTCTCACTCCCAACCCTCCTTGTTCCCCACCCCTTGACTGCCCTCCAGAACCTCCACCCCATCCAACCGCCCCCTCCTCCCTGACTGCCCCCCAGGATCCCCCGCTCCCTTACTCAACCCCCCCTCCCCCACGTTCCCCTGCCCCTTACCAGCAGCAGGAGCTTGCAGTCGCGACACCCGGCCAAAGCCAGCTGCGCTCCCCATGCTGTTTTCCCCTTCCCCGAGTCACTAGTTGCAACCCCAGAATGTAGGGCACTGGGAGCTGGAAATGAGGTGATGAGCTGCAGATGAACGAAGAGCTGAACTTGTAGCCACCTCTGGCGAGCTAGAGGAGCTGCTGGAGGGGAGGGTCTGCTCATTGCCTAGCCTGCTGGGTGGAGATGGGGTACACAAGGCTGCTGCTAGTGTTAGTGGCTCTCCTGAATGGCTTGGTGGGGATGGGGATGGGGACAGGAGAAGGTCTGCAGAAAAAAAGTTCCTTAAGCAGAACAAAGCAGAGGGGAAACATCTCTCTGACATAACTCTCTACAACACAGCTGAGCAGGGAGGAGCCAAGTGGGAAGTCAAGCCCTGATGACCATGGCCAGGAAATACTCAGCCATGGGAGTGGAGAGAGAAGTTTAGAAGGGAGAAAAGCCAGGTGCATCTCACTCCACTGAGCAGTGCTACGAAAAAGGGAAAGTTTTGCTCCTTCTAAACTTGTGTCTTGGGGTTTGACTTGCATCTTCTCTGTCTGAACTGGTTCACTATTCACTAGATAGGACACAATAATCATAGGACTGGAGGGGACCTTGAGATGTCTTCTAGTCCAGTCAGTGGTGCCAGAACTGGGGGGGGGGCAGGGTGCTCCCACTTTTTGCCAAGGCAGACCCTGCCCCCTTCCCCTCCACTCCCCGTGAGGCCCCAGCCTCCCAGCCAGGCCAGCATGGAGCCCAGCTGGGGAGGGGAGCCTGGGCCCGGGGCTGAGAGCAGCTCCCGGCCCATATCCCTGCCCCGCAGGCTTTTCACCCAGCCCAAGGCAGGTGGAGGGTCCACGACTCCGGGCCAGTTCCCCACAACTGCCTGCGTGGCTCTCCCTGACCTGGATCCAGATGGGAGGCGGGGGCGCTTCGGAGCCGCAGCCCGGTTATGGTAAGAGCAGCGCCGCGGTCAGCTTTGGGGAGCCACTGACCCTCCACTGGGACTGGGGGCCTGGAGACATGGGCCAGGGGCTGCTCTTGGCACCCTACCCCCACCCACGTTCCCCGGTCCTTCTCCAGCTTCTGGTTCGGCAGGGCTCGGAACCTCTGGGGGGAAGGGATGGGGCTTCTGGGGGCAGAGCCCCAGGGGATGGGAGCCCCTGACCCCCCCACCTTTGGGAAGGTTCCGGTGACCCTGAGTCCAGTTCCCTGCTTTTTAATTCCCTAGTTACAATTTGTTTTCTTTACAGCTTGCCATGATATTTGTTGCTGAAAAGTAACCTTTACATAGTAGCGCACATTTGTCACTGAGGGCAAGAGATTGACACAAGGGATGAGTTCAGGATAGTGTTTTTTGCTGGGAAGTGATGTGAACTATGAATGAGACCATCTGCGGTCTCCCTTTCAGTGGTGCAAGTCAGGAATATTTCCTCAGAAATCAATGACTTTATGCTGGTGACGGTGAGAGCAGAATCGGGGCCTTTGTCACTAAAATCTTCTTGAGGTTTTGCCGGAAGAAATAAATGTGGATTTTAAGATAATGTGGCCCATTCATCTGGAGTACAAAACACATTCAGCGTAAGAAGAACCAATACCATATAAATCCTATCTTGCTTAATTAAGAAGCAATACCTGACTGCATGTAATTCAGTATTCTATGGAAATGGACAACAGAACTACCCACACACAGATAATAACTCAGTTAAATGAAAGATGAATACAAAAGGGAATAGTTGCCTAACATTAAGATTACTCAAAGGAATCAAATCAAGAAATAAGTCTTCCATTCTTCAGTCCAGCAGGGATTTACATCACTGAGAGAAAACAGAAGAGGTGCACTAATATGAATTAAGGATCAACAATGACCTGTTTTAATTATCATAGCCTTTGCAGGCTGACTTCGGCCTTCATTCAAAACTGCACCCCACTGACATCAATGCGATCCAGGGCAGCATCTGGCTCTATGCTTACCATGCTAATGATGTATAAACATAGATTATTTAAATTTCATTTAATTTACTTGTTTGCTTTTTAACAAAAATACTTGTACAGCAACTTCCAGCTAAGATTCTGAAAATTATTCACACATCACTTACAGTGGTCTCCATTAAAAAGTAATTATTTCCCAACAGATGTCAATTACTACTTATTCTTTAAAAAAGGTGGGGTGGGGAGGAGCAGGAGATGGGTTGTCTCCCATACCACAGCATGGCAACTCTTGGCAAATGGTAATTTTGTAAATGGTGACTGCTGTAATTAATCAGCACAACATCACTTTGAGGTAGGTATGTATTCTCAGCCACTGCTTACAGATGGGTACACAGTTTAATTAAGTGACATGGTCATGGTCACAAAACCAATCAGTGGTAGAGCTGAGCATGGCAGTCAGGAGCTCACGGATGTTTGTAATCTATCGTAACTACCACTGCTCTATGAGATGACTGGAGTTGGAATGTGGCAGTATTTGTCACCTGAAGCTGATATGAATATTTTGCTAATTTACTTTACGATTAAGAACAACCTTTGCCCATGAACCAAATTAGAAAATTGCATCGGAAACAAGAGGAACGCTGAAATTGGCCTTCTCCTGCATTTTGTATTCAGACAAAACTCCATTTGACTTCAGGGAGTTTTGACTGGATGAAGACTGCAGGACCAAGCCCCATATGGATCATTGTGGCTATTTTGGAAGTATGTTAGCTCATAGACTCATAGACTTTAAGGTCAGAAGGGACCATTATGATCATCTGGTCTGACCCCCTGCAT